CCCCTCACACCCAGACAACTCGTCCCCCCCCCAAACCAGAATTTTATTGCAGATTCGGGGTCCTCTCGCCGAGCACAGGAGGACCCCGCCTTCAAAAAAATAAAAAAATAAAAAATTCTGGGCTGTTTTTTTGCCCGCCCGGTTTGCCCGGGCGGCCCACCCGGCCCCGCCTGCCATCCGTACTCAGGAAATTTCGAAATTTTCTTTTTTGCACAGTAGAACCACCCACTGACCACGCCTTCCTGACGCATATCGACAGAAATTCAAAAAAAAATAAAAAGAGAGAGATTCTTTTTATTTTTCTTTTATTTTTTCTGTTGATTAGTGATCAAGCATATGGGATTTTGGACATTTCAGTTTGGCCTGCTTGCCTGCCTGCATTGTTCCATTTCCCTTCCTCCTCTTATTTTCTCTCAGTAAGTGCCACGTCAGCAGTGCCACAACAGCCACCTGAATGCTCAGGCGCAGCGCACGAATCGCCGCTCAGCAACAGGCTGCCGTTCCCGCGCCCGTCGAGTCCCAACCGGCACTCTGTATTCCGCAGCCGACACAGGCCACAACAATGGCCACATCATCCGACGCCGGAGGTACACCAGTATCACAGGTTGGCAGTTCCTGTGGGGAACAGGGACTTACCAGTCCCGTACTCCCAAGGCATGCCCCACCTATGGCCAGGCGAGTCGATCTCGGACTTTGCCGCCGGCGTCCTCACCTTCAGCAAATTGGTGGCCAAAGAGGAACCGCGGCAGGCTGAGGCTGCAGCTGAACTACAACGGCAACAGCAAGAAGCCGCCGAAGCTCAGGGTCGGCAGCAGGAGGAAGCAGCTAATGCAGTTCACCGCCTCCGACAAGGCGCTTCGGCAAGCTTGCAGCGGCAAGAGATGGAGTACGCAGCCAAGTTGCGCAGCTGGCATTTCACCCCGACAGACGGTCACTGCCAACCGTCGGAGGATGAGAAAACCAAGGAGGACATGTCCAAGCTCATCGCCAAACTCATGCTGACCTGCAATTGGCAACAGGAAGAGTTGAAGCGGCTCGAGGGCGTCATCAACGAAACTCGAGACACGCAAAGTCATACAAATTGCAGTTTCAATGCGCGCCTCGATCACTTAGAACAGGACGACGCCGCTTCAGCAAGCGCCGGCTCAAGTAACAGCCAGCCGTCAATGCAAGAGTTGGAGGAACGGATTGATCATGTAGTCACCACAATCGGTGACCTTGCCACGTTCGCCAGACCAGTGACGATCAGCCAACAGCTGCCAGTGCTGAAAGCCGACGTCTGCACGCTGCAGCAACACCCACCAGGTGGCAGCAACCCGCGACCATACAAGATGCCGAACCTCGACATCGAGAAGTTCGACGACTACCACAAGCAAGACCCACTCACTTGGTGGCAAGGCTTCACTACCGCCATCGACATTCACCTTGTGCCCGACCACTTGAGGATAGCAGCACTCTACCTCAACATGACCGGCGCATGCCAAATTTGGCTCAACCATTTGGCCACGCACGAGGAGGTAACCATGGCGAACCTGCACACCAAGATCTCGTGGGACGATCTCGCTGCTAAATGGAAGAAGCGGTTCATCGTCGACAACGCGAAAGCTCACACTGTGAACCAGATCTTCTGCATGTTCCAAGGGACTCAACCTTCGCCCGGGTGGTTGACCGAATGGCAGAAGATCGTCGCTACTCCTAGTTTGAACATCCCGTTCGAGCACGTTAAGCGCGAATTCTTCCTCCGGTCGGTGGACTCCTTGAGCGCAGCAGTTGGGGATGACGACCGGTACGAGGACTTTGACTCCATCATCAATCGTGCTCGGTCAGTCATCCAAACCAATCGGCGTGCTGCTAACGAGAGATAAGGGCAGATGAACTTTGTGGAGAAAGGTAGACGAACTTTGTGGAGAAAGGTACAGGACAACGGATGCAGCCCGTTGCTGCGGTCCAATCAACTGGGCCGAACGAAGACCCGGCATCGACTTCAGGGTAAGTGAAGGAGACCAAGTCAATGCCCTTCCGCCGCGACGCACTAACACACGAAAGAAGAAGGTGAAATCAGCATCGGCGTTGGAAGCTGGACAGCCGAATCTGCCATGGACGAAGTTCCGTCTTACAGAGGTGCAATACAAGCTCCACCAAAAGTACGGATGCTGTTTTTGGTGCAACAGCACCAAGCACACTCCGGCTCAATGCGCCGACAAGGGCAAAGACGACATTCTTCCACAGCAAAGTTCGGGAAACTGAGCTCCGCAGGAAGTGAGGCGAGTCCACTTTCCATTTCGCCGGACACGGTTGCCTTGCTAGCGACCGCCTGCACGTCCGGGGAGCATGCGGATGTCACACGTCTTCGGGAAGACTTCGAAGACTATGCTGTCCAGCTGGACCGTCCGTTGGACCTACCCCTCCACGTGCAAGACTCTCACGTATGCGCGATTTCATCACCCCGTCGGCAAGCGAACCGATTTCATCGCCAACACTTCTACCATCCGGGGACTTGTCGGTGTAGTCAAGACTTGAGGACCGTGACCCGTTGACAATGGAAGACTTCGAATGGTCGGGGTTTCCCTCTCTTTTCTGTCGAACGCCCAACTCGAGCTGGGTCTTGGACGTTGCATGGCCCTGCACGGGGCCACCCTCAGCTTTCTGTTTTTCATACTCGACCATCTTTAACTGACATTTCGTTAAATCTGAATTTGTTTTTTATTTTCACATGAGGAAGTTGACATTTTATTTTTGTACCCATTTGGGCGTCCAATGGGTTTTTTCTGTGTGCTGTGGTGAATGTTAATGTGTTTCACTGTATGGCCTCTTCGACCCCGAAATTGCACCGAACCCTCACCCAGTCGGGGACATCATATGCTTATCTTATATGCTCTCTGGGCATACCACACTGGGACTCTCCTGGATTTATCTGGTCGCTTCTAGCCTTCTAGGGCCATTTGTGGTTGTATCTGACCGCGAGTACGTCCAGAGAATAGTTGAAATAGTCCTTGTGTGTGAGTATGGCCTCAGTTGATATGTTCGCCGGATGATGATTATACCCACTGATACCCTTTCTTTATGACATGATAATTCCCATGAACTCTCATAGGATGAAATCTTGTCCAAAAAAGGGTTGATCTACATGCAAATTTTGCAACACGATCTCATCACACGAAAGAAAAAGAAGAATCAGATTCAATTTTCATGAAGGGAAGAAAAAAAAAACAGTTTCGAGTTTAACGAAATCAGTTATTCAACTTATTTGAACTTATTTCTGCTAAATAGTGCTTATCGATCCCACAGGACCCACATTTTTTTTTGCTTCGGAAACTCCCCACTACAAAGTACAAAGTCACAATACTTTTTACCGACACAGCCTGAGTTTTGATTGCCAACGAAAATCCGGCCCACATTACAAAGCTCACACTCCGTTTCAATTGCTTACTGAACCCCCCCCACCCACTCCTCTCTTTTTTTTTTTTTTTTTTTTTTTTTGAGTGTCAAAGTTAAAAGTTCAAACATAATACGAATGCAAATATGATTTTGCAAAAATGCCAAAAATGAACTTAATCTCATGTGAAACCACATTCTACAAGGATGGTGTTGAACATTCTGATGTGCATCTTTTTCACCCCTTGCCTGAATTTTTCTTTGTTCATGCTCATCCCATTTTTTATTTTTTTTTTCCCTGTTGGTTTGCGGACTGATGGACCGCAGATCAAATATTAATCAGATAGTAATCAGATATGAAACTGATCCAAACAAATTCAAAACTTCAAAAGATACATATTACATACTGCACTTGATTTCTTGTTAGCCAAAAGGCCAAGAAAGTTGAAGAAAGGTATATAAAAATACACTCCAGACACGTCGCTGGCACTAGAGGCACAGCATGGCCGCCTAGTAACGGCCCCGACCACTGCCGCTCGACCTGACCGGAAAAAAACGTAGCAGGAAGCTAGCGAAGTCGTAGCATATATCGTCACAAACAGAACTGCCCGGTAAACCGTAGGCAGAGAGAGAGAAGAGCCCCTCGTTTGTTGTCCTCTTCTCTCTCTCTGCCTACAGTTTACCGGGCAGTTCTGTTTGTGACGATATATGCTACGACTTCGCTAGCTTCCTGCTACGGTTTTTTCCGGTCAGGTCGAGCAGCAGTGGTCGGGGCCGTTACTAGGCGGCCATGCTGTGCCTCTAGTGCCAGCGACGTGTCTGGAGTGTATTTTTTGGCTGTGACAGACCTTTCTTTGTTTCGTGGATGTTTTGCTGGCTTGTGATGGGGTGTGAACCGACAGTCTGTAG